GAGGTTGTGTCTTGTATGGATGAGAAGAAGAAAATGAGGTTTGATGTTCAAAGCTGAAAATACCAATGTCTAATGAGAAACTTGTTCCCTCTATTGTGCAGGCACCGGAATTGGAGCTAAAAACTTTACCCGAGCATCTCAAGTATGCATATCTTGGAGATAAGGAAACTCTACCAGTGATCATTTCCACCAAGTTGTCAACAAAAGAAGAGGAAGAACTTGTCACCACCTTGAAGGAATATAAGGAAGCAATTGGGTGGACTATAGCGACATCAAAGGGCTAAGTCCTTCGCTTTGCATGCATAAAATCCTTATGGAAGAAGATTACAAGCCTTCCGAGAAGCTCAAAGGCGTCTGAATCCTCCAATGATGGAGGTTGTGAAAAAAGAGATTTTGAAGTTGTTGAATGCGGGAATGATTTACCCTATATCAGATAGTAAGTGGGTAAGTCCGGTCCAAGTCGTGCCGAAGAAGAAAGGTATTACCGTTACAAAGAATGACTAAGGTGAATTAGTCCCCACCCGTGTGCAAAACGGGTGGAGAGTTTGCATTGATTATAGATGGCTCAATTCCTCAACCTGGAAAGACCATTTCCCACTTCCCTTCATTGATCAAATGTTGGAAAGGTTAGCGCGAAAAACACATTATTGTTGCTTGGATGGATATTCCGGTTTCCATCAAATACCCGTTGCACCTGAGGACCAAGAAAAAACTACTTTCACATGTCCTTTCGGAACATTTGCATATAGACGAATGCCTTTTGGGCTTTGCAATGCTCCAGCCACTTTTCAAAGGTGCATGGTAAGTATTTTTTCGGAATTTGTTGAGGAAATCATTGAAGTTTTTATGGATGACTTCACCGTTTATGGTAATTCTTTTCATGAATGTTTGGGAAATTTGAAAAAGATTTTGCAAAGATGTATTGAAACCAATCTTGTTTTGAATTATGAAAAGTGTCATTTTATGGTTGACAAAGGTCTCATACTAGGTCATATTGTGTCTTCTAAGGGTCTAGAAGTGGACAAAGCAAAAATAGATGTCATAAAATCTTTACCTTATCCCACTTGTGTTCGTGAGGTGCGCTCATTTCTTGGTCATGCAGGATTTTATAGAAGGTTTATTAAAGATTTTTCCAAGATATCTCGTCCCATGTGTGAGCTCCTACAAAAAGATGCAGAATTCGAGTTTTCTAAACAGTGCAAGCAAGCTTTTGATCAATTGAAAGAGTTGTTGATCACAGCACCAATACTTCAATCACCGGATTGGAGTTTGCCTTTTGAAATCATGTGTCATGCCAGTAATCACGCAGTTGGTGCAGTGTTAGGGCAAAGAAAAGACCGTGTTCCTAATGTCATTTATTATGCTTCAAAAACACTTGATAGTGCACAAGCCAATTATTCAACAACTGAAAAAGAATTGTTATCTATTGTCTTTGCTTTAGACAAATTTCGTCAATATCTTCTAGGTTCTAAAGTCATTGTTTATTCTGATCATGCAGCTATTAGGTATTTACTTGCAAAGAAAGATTCGAAGCCTAGACTCATTCGATGGGTATTACTCTTGCAAGAGTTTGACATTGAAATCAAAGACAAGAGCGGAAAGTCAAATCTTGTAGCTGATCATCTTAACAGGATTGTTTCTCCCGAAGATTCAACTCCCATTCATGATGCATTTCCCGATGAAAATCTGTTTTCAGCAAAAGTTGCCCCGTGGTATGCCGATATTGTGAACTACATTGTCACAAATCAAATTCCACCAGATTTAACTCGATGGCAAAAAGACAAGATCAAGAAAGAAGCCAAGAGGTATGTTTGGGATGAGCCATATTTGTGGAAATATTGTGCTGACCAAATGATTAGACGATGTGTGGATCAATATGAGGTAACTTCTATCTTAACATTTTGTCACTCTTATGCTTGTGGAGGACATTTTGGTCCTCAAAGGACTGCAAGAAAAGTTTTAGAGAGTGGATTTTACTGGCCAAGTATTTTCCATGACTCTTATGTTTTTTGCTCAAGCTGTGATAAATGTCAACGAATGGGCTCTTTAAGCTCAAAGAATCAAATGCCCTTAAACCCCATATTAGTTTGTGAAATTTTTGATGTTTGGGGCATTGATTTTATGGGACCTTTTCCATCATCTTCGGGTTTTATTTATATTCTTTTGGCTGTGGACTATGTTTCCAAGTGGGTGGAAGCAAAGGCTACCCGTACTAACGATTCAAAAGTTGTGATAGATTTCTTGAAGGCTAACATTTTTTCCAGATTTGGTGTTCCAAAGGCCTTGATCAGTGATCGTGGTACACATTTTTGTAATCGTATACTCGGGAGTGTTTTGAAGAAATATGGTGTCACTCATAAAGTTTCCACAGCATACCACCCACAAACAAATGGACAAGCTGAGGTGAGCAATCGACAAATCAAGGGCTTTTTGGAGAAAACCGTGAATACAACAAGGAAAGATTGCAGTACACGCCTTGATGATGCTTTGTGGGCGTACCGCACTGCATACAAAACTCCAATTGGAATGTCGCCATATCGTATTGTTTATGGAAAGCCGTGTCGATTACCCGTTGAGTTGGAACATAGGGCATATTGGGCAGTCAAGCAGTTCAACATGGATTTAAGTGAATCGGGAAAGAAGAGGAAGCTAGACATACAAGAATTGGAAGAAATCCGCAATGAAGCGTATGAGAATGAGGTTCTTTATAAGGAAAAGACTAGAGCATTCCATGACAAGATGATTACACGCAAGGTATTTCACAAAGGTCAAAAGGTACTACTTTACCATTCGCGTTTTAAATTGATTCCTGGTAAATTAAGGTCCCGTTGGGTGGGACCATTTGTTGTCACTAATGTTTTTGAGCATGGTGCAATAGAAATCACAAGTGAGAAAACCGGGAAGATTTTTAAGGTAAATGGTCACCGTTTGAAGCCTTATTATGAAGGATTTCAAGTCAAGAATGAAGAGGTGGAGGAAGTAATGGATCCAAAGTATGAAAATTGACAAATAGTTGGGGTCCAAGTCGAGCCAACGACATTAAAAAGGGGCGGCTAACCGGGAGGCAACCCGGGGGTATTTTTGTCATTTAGTATATTTTTATTGTATTTTCTTTGTTTTCAAACTTCCAAGTTGTTTTTCATGTTAAAAAAGGGTTAAAAATCATTTTTCGGGCAGTAGAGGTTTAGCGGGTTGCAATTTCAAAAAGTGAAAAAAATCAAGTTTTTTGGCTTTCTCAGAAGTTTTCACGGCCGTGTAAACTTATGCCTTGCATTTATACGGGCCGTGTAAACGATTGAATGCGGTTTTTATGATTCAGGGATTTACACGGCCGTGTAAACCCTCCCCTTTGATTTACACGGGCCGTGTAAACGCAAAAACAGGGCTGAACAATTTTAAGGTCAAATCTCGATTTTTCTAACTCATTCTTCACTCAATACCTGCGATTCCCTCTCTCCCTACTACCCCTTTCGAAAAAAACCCTTCCAAATGCTCAATCTTCCTCAATTTTGCATCAAAAATCAAGCTCCAAGGTATGAAATTCCTCCCTTTTCTTCATCTTCTTTATCTTCCACATCTATATCCTTCTCCCATGGCCGATTTTGGGTTTTTTTTAACAAAACCCTAGAATTTTTTTAACTTCAAATCTCAACCTAATGTTTCAAATTTCTTGTAGGATAAGCTTAGGGATAGCTTGGGGAAGCATTGGATATCATCTTATCACCATTATCAAGCACAAATTGGTATAATTGTTCCAAACTCTTACTTTGTGCATTTAGATAGAACACATTCTTTTTTTTGGGTGTTTTTGGTAAAACTTGCTAGTTCTTGTACTTCAATTGTCTTAATTGTGTGCAATATTTTGTTGATTCATTTGGGTTATGGCTTCCCGGGGTAAAAGACATAGAGTTGGCACTTCACATGATGAACAAGACCCACATGCCATAGACAACCCCTATGAATTTGGTCTTATTTTTGAGAACAATCGACAGGAAATCTTGTATGCAAATCTTGTTACAAGAACAATGGGTGCTCAAAAATTTGTGGACATCCAGGCCCTCAAAGATTTACACATATACAAGGGTGTTCACAAGCTTTTTAAAAACATAGGATGGGAGGGTCTTTTGAATCTTCATGCAGTTAGTTACCAAACACCGATGTTGGAACTTTTGTCTTCCATTTCCTTTGACTATCAAACCCATCTCCTAACTTTCCGTCTGCTCAACCAAACGCATCAATTTCATGCTGATATCCTTTGTGATATAATTGGTGCTCCTAAAGCAAGAAGGGATATATACACAGCTAAGGGTAGAAAAAATGTTGTTTTTGAGCAAGACTGCGCAAATTTTTAGAGAAACATCTCTTGTGAGTATGAGTATCAATCGGGCACCGCAAAAGCTTCTAGCATTATCCATCCGGTCTTGAAAGTAGTTCACCGGATCATTGCTTCTCTCTTATTCCCTCAAGAAGAGATTAGCAAAGCTAATAAAAAAGAGCTAGAAGTCTTGTGGTGTATGATTAACAAGCCTGCAGAAGTCCCTCATTTTGGTTGTTGGGTTATTCAAAAAATGCTCAGAAGTGCTACGAGCAATGGTGGACAGCTACATTGTGGAGGCATGGTTTCTATTATTGCAGAGCATCTTGGCCTCCATCTACCTAATAACCCAACAAACATCATCATGGGCCGTACTCGTCTATCAATTGATGTTATGGAAACAATGCATCTCTTCCACCGCCTTCCCACTGGGGATATTCATTGGACAGTAGATGGGAAAGAGTATCTACGTATAGACAGCAGAAATAAGAAGATACTCAATTTAGCTAATGATATTCCATCAACTAATTGGAAACTCAGATCCAACTTAGGTGTTACAATAGATCATAGTCCTCCATCCTCTCCTCCTCCTGCTCCTCCTGCTCCTACTGCTGGTGCTTCTAGTTCCTCTCGCCCTATTCCTTTTTCTGAACATAATCTTTATATGGGCGAGTTTGCGCGTTTGAATCATCGTTACACCAGTCTACAACAGGAAATCGGGGACATTTATACGGGTGTCGCTGAAATCACTTCTGATTTTCAGGACTACCGTAACTTACAGGAAGAGCATTGGGCCCAACAAGAGTTGTGGTGGGCTGAGCAAGATCAAAGATGGGCTACTCAAGAGCAGCACAACCGCAACATTCACCATCTGCTGAGTGATATCCATAGAGTTCTTGTGCTCCCCACACAGTCGCAGCAGCCATCAACATCCCAACCCCAATGGCCTCCCTACTATCCTACAGATTACCCTTCACAGTTCCCTCCATATCCTCCGCCTGGTCCTCAATAGGACGGCTGCGCCTCTCTTCAAGCATCGAGGACGATGCTATATTTTAAGCTTGGGGAGGGGTATCCATCCATTGCATTATCCTGTTGCATGTAGGTTGCATGTAGTTTTGTACATATTGCATTAATTTTCATTTCATTTTCGTTTTCATTTTTTTTCTGCATGAAAAATTAAAAAAAAAAAAAAAAGATCCAATCCCAAGCAACCGAATCTTTTCAAAACAGTTGAGCACGTAAATGAGTCATGTGCCTTGAAATTGGCTTGCTTTTCTTATTGAAAAAATCTAAAAGCAAGTTAATCACACACGAGCACATCTCCCGAAGCTACTTGTGCAAAACAGAAAATGAGAAGATTGTCAACACTGGAGCATAACAGCAGGTATGAGTCGATTCTTTGGGACATATGACCTGTCTTATGAGTAGTAATGCTCAATTGAACTTAAAATGTCAAATTCAAAAGTTCATAAAAAGAATGCAAAATCTCAATGTCCCGCCTTCCAGCGCTCTTAAAAGTTCTTTCTACTTATTCCCTTTTATATATACCCTGCTTGAGCACATAGCTTTCAACTATACTTACGGGTTTTTGCATGTTAACATTTAATCCCTCGAAAAATGTCCAGAAGTCCCTCACGGTAATAGACCGTGAGATGTCCCACAATAGAAAAGTCAAGGACGGAAATATAAGGAAATTGGCCAAATAAACAAATTAATAAGAGTGTTATGTGTTAACTTAGTTATTTGTATATGTGTTATATTTAAAAAAAAAAAAAAAAAAAAAAAAAAAAAAAAAAAAACTAAACTATTATTAAGTTAATCTGTGACCTTTGGGATTCGAACAAGTAAACTCTGAGGGGTGTTCTACACCTAATCACCTAAAGCTAAATTGTTTGGGATTGATTGGGTTGAAAGTTCGTTATACGGGTTCCATAGAAAGTCATGAACTTAATAATAGTAAATAAAGCTAATCTGTGGCCTTTGAGGTTCGGGCAAGTAAACCCGAGGGATCTCTTTAAATCTAGCACACTAAGGTCATTTGATTTGGATGTGTTGGTTGAAAGCCTGTTACACGGATTTCAAAGAAAGCCATGAGCTTTATTTATAAAAAAAAATGTGTAATTAGAAAGTTTGTACATAGTTGTGTTTATAGTTTAATTAGATGTTGTGTTTAGGAAAAATAAATGGCTGTCAAAAGATTCCCTTGGACTTGGATTTGAATTTATGACATTGGACTGAATGTTAATTACTTCAACTGGTGTAAGTGGTTTGAAGTTTGTAACCAATCTAGATAAATATTAGGGAATTTTTAGAAAATATTTTTCAGAAAAAGATTGTTGTTGACCAACAAATAGCTGGAATCGAACATTGTTATATTTTATGAAACAAAGATGGTTGAGCATGTTTTGTCATATATAATTTCACGAGAGTAAGACCATAATTTGTTCCAAGAATTGACTTGATAATATTGAAAAGGAATAAGTGTTGTGATCTTTAATTCTGTTGAGTTGTACTAGGGAGTAGCCAAAGTCTTGTTTCTATTATCATTTAATATTTTGAGACTAAAGCAAAGTTAACTCGAGGCATGACAGGTACATTCTCAACTATGGTACAAAACAGGGTAATTGGGTTGGATCTTTTCATATTTGTTTTGATTTCATGCATTAAGTTATAAATAGTCTTAACTTTAATTTTCTTTTCTTCTATTCTATTTTCTTTTTTTTTTCTTTTCTAGTTTAAATCTTCTTGTTCTTTCTTGAGGACAAGAAAGGTTTACGCTTGGGGAGATTTGTTAGGTGCATTTCATGCATTCATTTTTTATAGTTTTAGTTCATAAAAGTGCATTACATTTAGGTTTAGACTCATGCATTTTGTATAATTTCGGGATTTTTCATGATGCAATTCCATTCACACGCTTTTAGAATATTTCAGGGACTTATGAAGGTTGGATCTTGTTGGAGGAAGTTATCAAGAGTTGGATACAAAGTTGTAGAAGTTTTGGAGCTTTGAAGAGAGAGAATGAAGAAATGAAGAATTTGGTTTCACAGGAGTTTACACGGCCGTGTAAATTTATGCCTTTGATTTACACGGGCCGTGTAAACGTATATGCAAGGATATTCTACTTCGAAGACCTGGAAGACTTAAGCATTCTACTTTTCTTGTTTACACGGCCGTGTAAATGGAACCCTTTGGTTTACACGGGCCGTGTAAACGTCTCGGCAGTTTTAAAGTGGTTTTGTCTTCTTATAATTCAGACAATCAGTTTTTATGAAGTTCAGGTCGGATTTTGGGAGGAGAAGAGACGATTTTCAGAGCTTTTGCAAGTAGATTAACACTTGGAAAACACTTTAATTTCTTTTTGTAAGTCAATTTGAAGTTTAAACTTGTTTGATTTGTAGTCCAACCTAGATATGTGTGGTTGATTTTATTATCATTTCCGAATCTGAATTCTTAAGTATGTGTTGTTAGATTGTAACTTGAATTTGACTTATGTCTAACATCTAGTAATCTTTGATTTGATCTTAATCATGTGTTTGATTAGTTCTCTTTTTCACTTGATCAATGAACTAGGGTTCTATTCAATCTAGTTAATCAAATCATGAAATTCGTATATGTTTTATGATTTGATGTTAGTAACACTCACTTACTTGGTTGTAATTAGATCAAAATTAGTGCAATCAAAGATTAAATGTTTATATTCCCAAGCTTAAGAGGAATGTTAAACATTGTTGGTAATTAGTGCAAGAACTTAATGTCATTTAATGATTTAATGCAAGAGCTTATTTGGGTTGAATCAAATAAATGAAATTTTATTTAAAGAGCTTATTTTGAATAGAATACTTTTGCCAATTTGGATATTAGAGTTTATTAATATCCAACTTACTAACCTAGATTGAACATGAGTTATAATCATATTACATCTTTCAACATAATACATATATAAGAGTCAGAATCGGAAATGTACTTCTTTTACTGCGTTTGTTTGCAATCTTTCTTATTTATGAAGTTTAATTCAAGTTTAAATACAAACCCCCATTTCAATATTACTTGTATTATGTGTGAAAATATGGTAAGATGAAAAGTCCCGTATCTCTGTGGACCGACCCTGCTTACTCTATACTATCTTTAGTATTAGAAATAGCAGTGATTTGAGTTATATTAATATTATTTTATCCCATCATTTGTTGGTTTGACACCCAAACATGTTCTGATACAGACCAATAAGCATAAACAATAACATTACAAGTCATTCAACAAATATATACATATACAGACTTGTAAACAAAACAACTTGATGGTTTATCCATCTTACGCCCTTGCGCCACTTCCTGCAATACAAATAAAACTGAGTGGGTCAGGCTTGGGAGCCTGGTGAGCATATAGGGTTTTCAACCCACAATAAATAATTAAATTATTTATTATCAACCAACAATAACCCAATTACACATTCCCATTATTCTCACTTTATGTCCCTAACATAACTGACACAAGGGACCTAGTTTAAGAATATTTCATCGGGGTGACAACACATGCTTCGGGGGTTCCTCAGCAATATAAGTCAAATAAGGCAACCATGAGGGGGATGGAATACAACGAATGAACACCCAAGTTCATTAACACCTACAGGTTATGAGCCTGCTAGCCTTCCACTGGACTGTCTAGAAAAGTCTGTGGTTGTCATCTAAATTCCGCTAGATGACTGGATCAAAACAACATCGAGGCCTCTCATCTTTTATTACACACCAACTATTTACCCATGTTCTACTCAACATATTAGTAGATAAAAATATATATTTTTATACATAGTTTAAAACCTACATAGCATTCTCGTTCAATACATATTCCAAAACAACAGATGAGACACATACACATAACATGTATTTCATAGAGAATAAATCATATCTATGAGATAGAAGAAAGTGAATATACATTCACGCATATAACAACAAAATATACACATAACACGTATTTTATATTAAATACTTGATAATTATACGTTAGAAGAAAGTAACCACACACTCACACATATAAACAACAATATACTTAGTACACTCAAATCATACTTGTATTATTATCGTGTTTATGAAAGGTAGTATACACTCATTTGATCAGAAGATGATCGGACAACACTACGACTTGCAAAAGTAGTAATCCTCAGCAGATCTGGAAGATCTCTACAAAAATCGAACTTCTCGCGGGCAGAGCTTCGGCTCGGAAACCGCACTTCTCGGGATCTTCGGGATCTCGGGACTTGCTTCGGGACTCGGGAATATTACCGGGGCTTCGGGGTATTTCTGGCACGCAAAACGATGCAAAGCGGGAGAGAGAAGGGAGAAAAATGGCAAAATATCCGGCTGTCCTCACATCCTATTTATAGGAGGCTGGAAGCCTCAATTACGCGGGGCGTACTGCTCCGAGTTCATCATGGCGTTCGTCATCCGAAGTCCTCGAGTGCGAGTGTCGACACTCTTCGCTGTACGCGGGGCGTACTCCGGATGAGCCCGATGACTCGCCTTCGGATAAGGCCGGATTTAATAATTAAATTTAATTATTAATTATTTAATAAACTTCAGAAATTCATATCTTCTTCATACGAACTCCGTTTTCGACGTTCTTTATATCCACGCGAAGGTGAGACTACGCTCTACAACTTTTGTTTAGACTTCGTTGGCTAATTTTGACTTTATTTTTAATAGGCCGGGACAGAAAATTTCGTTATAAATTCATAACTTCTTCGTTTGACGTCCGTTCTCGCCTAACTTTTTTATCGCTTTGATACTAACAACGAGATCTTCGATTCTCATTTAGATCACTAAGGCTAAATATCGCTCTGACGTAAATTTTACTTTTTACGTCATTCAGCAGTGTCGGTTCTGTCGCGAAACTTTGACAGGTCATAACTTCCTCGTTATAACTCGGATTTCGGTATTCTTTATATCTTCGGAAACCATGTTTCAGCTACTACAACATTATCTAAAGATATCAAGTTTATTTTACACTTAAATTTTG